GCGTGCTTCCCTGTAGGGCCAGGAGAGAACCCAGCAGCAGCACGAGAGGCAGCCTTGGCTTGGCTCATGCAGCAGCAGCAACAGCAACAGCAGCTGCTGCTGAAGCAGCAGAAACAGGAGCAGCAGGACCACCACCACCACCAGCAGCAGCAGCAGCAGCAGCAGCAGCATTCAGATTGCGGCACTTCTATGTTAGCAGCAGCAGATATGGGTATGGATAAACAATCTGCTGCTGCTGCTGTTGCTGCTGCTGCTGCTGCTGCATTTGATGATGGGGAGGACATTAAGAAGGGTTGCTCATCCCCCAACAACAGCAGCAACAGCCCAACAGCAGCAGCAGCAGCAACAGCAGCAGCAGCAACAGCAGCAGACAGGTTAGATGAACAATTTACTCCTTCTAAGAGGAAAATTGCTGCTGCTGCTGATGGGCCTCTGCCCTTCCGAGTTAAGGGGGAGGACGGGGTCAGCAGCAGCAGCAGCAGCAGCAGCAGCAGCAGCAGCAACAGTAACAGTGGTGTCAATGCTGGTAAAGATGATGGCAACTGTGCGCCACAGCAACAGCAACAGCAACTGCAACAGCAGCAGCAGCAAGACGGTGCGGAGCCTGCTGCTGCTGCTGCTGCCGCTGCTGCTGGTTCTCCCGTGTATCACTTGTGGTCTCCAGAGCAGCAGCAAGATGGAGGCCCGCAGCAGCTGCTGCTGCAAGAGGAGGAGCAGCAGCAAGAGCACCAGCAACAAAGCAGCAGCGAGCTCCTGCTGCAGCAAACCTCCCAGTGTGGGGCGCAGCAGCAAAGATTGGTTGTTGCTGCTGCAACAGAACTCTGTGGATCTCGTTAGATAGAAGAGTGCAGCAGCAGCAGCAGCAGCAACTGCAGCAGCAGCAACTGCAGCAGCAGCAGAAGCGGTAACTGAGCGCTGCTGACAGTAGGAGAAACAGCAGCAACAATAGCAGCAACGTAGCAGCTGCAGCAGCAAGCAGCTGCTGCAGCAGCTGCAGCAGCAGCAAGCAGCAGCTGCTGCAGCAGCAGTAAATATGTTATAATAAATCCTTATTGAGCTCGTGTATGTACAGCATAGATGAGGAAAAGAAAAGATTTATTTATTTATTATTTATATATATATTTATTATTTATTTATTTATATATATATTTATTTATTTATTTATTAAGAGGGGCTTCTTTTTGTTGTTTTTTTTCTTCTTTTTTCTTCTTTTTTACGCATGCAGATACTTTTATATGTCCTCTATTGAGGTGTATAGGCACCTCAGGTATATATTATATATATATTTATATTTATATTTATATTTATATTTATATTTTATATTTATATATTTATTTATATATTTATTTATATATATGTACACCTGAGGTGTATAGGCAGCTATCTATTCTTCAGGTGTATGCGCATGCATTCAGGTGTATACACACATACACCTCATCTATATATACACACACTTTTTTGCATGCATGCATGCATGCATGCATTTATATATGTCTTGCATGCATGCATGCATGCATGCATTTATATATTTATATGTCTTTGCACGCATGCATGCATGCATTTATGCGTTTATATGTCTCTGCACGCATGCATGCATGCATGCATGCATGCATGCATGGTTGTTTAGGTGTATATATGTATATTATTCCTTTGCATGCGTTTTCCTTAAGGTGTAAATTATGCTGCCAGCCCCAAACTGTTTTCTTGCCTTCTCTTGGGGTGTATGTACACCTCATGCATGCATGCATTTTTGCATGCATTTTTTGCATGCATGCATGCATGTATATGCATATGCATGCATGCATGCATGCATGCATGCATGCATGCATGCATGCACTATTTACATGCAGTTTTCTTATTTTCTTTCTTTTGTTTATATGATTTATAAGGACAAATTATTATTATTTATTTATGCCTCTCCTTATTTGCTGCTAATCAGGTGTATCCTCAGCTAATTATTTGCATGCAGCAGCAGCAGCAATAGAAGTAGCAGCAGCAGCAGCAAAGTAATAGTAGTAGCAACAGCAACAGCAGCAGCAGCAAAAGCAGCAGTAATAGTAGTAATCATTGTACAGCTAGTTGGTGTACATACACCGCAGCCAGTAGTGTCTTCTTACTGCATGCAGTTGCTTCTTTAGTGCAGCAGCAGCAGCAGCAGCAGCTGCAACAGCACGGGTTTTGCTGCTGCTACTTGCCCAACTTGTGCTGCTGCTGCTGCTGCTGCTGCTGCTGCTGCAGTTGTGGCTTTAGCGTTGAAACAGCAGCAGATGCAGCAGGAACAGCAGCACCAATACTAGCAGCTGCAGCAGCAGGAACAGCAGAACAAATACTAGCAGCAGCAGCAGCAGCAGCAGCAGCAG